AGCTTCTCTCCCATTACACCCATAACCATCTATTGACTGATAGCTTCTCTCCCATTACACGCATAACCATCTATTGACTGATAGCTTCTCTCCCATTACACGCATAACCATCTATTGACTGATAGCTTATCTCCCATTACACGCATAACCATCTATTAACTGATAGCTTCTCTCCTATCACACCCATAACCATCTATTGACTGCTAGCTTATCTCCCATTACACGCATAACCATCTATTAACTTATAGCTTCTCTCCTATTATGTTTCGTACAATAAGCAGGAAAGATGAGTACAATATGATTCATGCTATTGCTGTTTTTATTTATCAGGACTTAGATCTGTTGTTGGCATTACTTCTCTTCCTCTCTGTTAGTTTTTCATTTTAGATTTACTCTGTTATATTTTCTGTCATTTGAAACTTGTTTATCTTCATTTGGAATTTATGAACTAAATGTTTTATAATCGTAATACATTTTTATGGATATTTAGTTGATCAGTATTAACTTTGATAGTTAAAATTTCTCGTTTTTTCTCTTCGCTAGAATCGATCTAAATGACTCAAAGACATGTAAAGTATTTGCCTAGCTTAACGAACATTAGATTTCCACCCATATAGTAAAACACTTTTTAACAACTGGAACAATACGCAAACCTTACATGATTTATTATAACAGTTCATAGTGTCAACCAAAGTTAAAACTTCCAGGAGGCCTTGCTTCAAAGAATAGTTTTTTTTTATTGTCCATATTGACGTAAACCATGCCTTAAAATTAGCATGCACTGAAATGGACAGTCTAATATTAGACCATCAGACTGTGTTTTATTGTGGCTTCAAAAGCATTAGATGAATCTTGGTCAAGAATCACCTTAAAGTACCTTTTGTAAAATATAGGCTTACAAACACAGCCAAGGCTTACGATAATTTTCTTTCAGTGATAGGCAGACTGTCTAGTTCTTTAAGCATAGAGCTAACTGAGCTTATATTCTATTCCCTTGAAGGTACTAATTTATTAACTTTGTTGCTAAAACACTGATTCTGTTTGTTCAACTTTATGAATTGATCTTGTGTATCATACATTAGTAGTAAGGATAGCAAGACTAATAAAATCACAATTCAAAGCTTGTTTTACGTACTTACATTTAAAAATTAAAGCGTGCGTTTCAGAGCGTCTCATCCTCTCTGTATTACTAATGAGAATTAGATTCGTATTAAACACGAGTATGGTGCCTGTGTAATGATGAAAGCTTGATAACACTTGTTCAAATGCAAACTGAGCTTCGTGTTAAAGAGTATAATGTGAATTAACGTGTGTGTATTTTATATATAAGGGGAAGTTATAGTACTACCGTGGAATACATCACTAATATTTTTGCATTTAAATAAATATATAATATTTTCTTGGAATGCGTTATTTTATATGTCATATTCCAACAAATAATAGTAAATTCAAACCGTGAAGCGAAAGAGACAGCGCCCTCTATAACAACACACTGGCGTTACATTCTTTACGATTAGCAACATTTTTCACTAAAGTAACAATCTGGAAAGAAGGGATAATTAAAACGTACCTATTTACTCTACCCCCTTACCTTTATAAAATCTAAGTTGTAAATAACAGAACAAAAAAGTTATTTGCTAACTTATCGCTCAGTCAAATATGAAATCGCTTTGATTGAGAGATAAGGCTACCGCTCATCACAGTTTGATGGATCTGGGTAAGACATGTTGTTCTAGACTTTGGAAGTTTATAAACTCTTGAAACAGGTGCTTTAGATTATAGATTTAACTATTTCTAACTTTTATATTTAAGTGGAAACGGAAAGAACGTATAAATATACTGAGGCCTAATCAAAAAACAAAACCCGAGCGTCATATGTTGCTAACAAAAATAATTTGTAGAGAAATTAAATTGAATTATTAATTTTAATTGTTGGTTGTTTAATATCCACTTGAATATTTATGAGACAGTAGCACTGAATTACTCAAAAAATCGATAAATGTTTAAAACGGTAGGAGTTATAGCCTATGTAGCCATTTCTAAAGATTGAATAGTTGTATCCGAAACCTACAATAACCATGGTTATTGTTTAAATATGCAAGCAAACATTCATTTTTTTTTCATAGTTCATTGAGAAATAAAAATAAAATTAATACATGATATAATAGTTAAAACAATTCATAAATTTTTATGGCGAACAATAATTTTAATTTATAAGCTATTACAAAACATGTTACTTAATTTAACTTTACTAAATTTTAAAGATGTAACAAGATGTGTAAAGATGTTTGAATTTTGATTTTAATTTTAAAACCTAAACACTAGAGTATAATACGAAATTTAATGTACATTTTCTAAATCTCAACGCTATATCAGCTGTTAAATTTATTCAACAACACTTGTAATATAATTTACACATTTTATATTTTAATACTATTATTTCAAGTGAAACTAAACTCTCATTTTTTTATTTAAATGTTATAATAGTGAAGAAAAACCAATACACTTTTTTTAAATAAAAAAGGATATAAGATAAACTTAATTCACATGTTTCGTTTACGAGCTATAAAAGCAAAATAAAAGAACAAACAAACAAACAAAAAACGGTTGCAATAAATTTACTTAGTATTGTTTCAACAGTGACTGGAGAGTTATATTTTGGGCCAACTTTTATTTTCATCATTCTGGTATTATTTTTCAATACAGATTATGGCTGACTGATCAACAATTTTAGTAGGATTTGCACTATTAATTCCAGTTATAACAGTGTATTGATAACGTTTAAGCAAAGCAATTATACTATATTCAATTCAAAAAGTAATACCTTAAAAAAATCTCCCAATGGCTCAGCGGTAAGTCTGACGGCTCACACCGCCAAAAAAACCGGGTTTTGATGCTCGTAGTGGGCACAACATAAATATCGTTCTTTAAAAAAAATAGTGTAAGAAATACTTCTAATCATGGGTAAATTACTATAGAAAATGTTATTTTGAACCAGTTCCAGTTAAATTTTTCTAAGTGAAAACAAATTTCGAAACAAACTTTAATAGCCCCAAAATTTAAATTTTCAAAATATTTTTCACATTTTTTTCACCATTTGCAATTAGTAAAGACTAAATTTTCTAAAACAAATAAACTTATATTTCATAACTTAAAATTATATAAGAGTGTATTTGAAATATCCTATGCAAAGATAAAAATGACAATATAGTAACGAACATTAAGTAATACATGGATTTTTGTCAAATTAAAGAAAAAAATTAGGAACCAATGAAAATGCTAAAAACTGTTTTTCAAAAGATGATATTTATTTACAGTTCCTGTTCCAAATGAATTTAACATTTTACCTGGTAATATACATTTCAGAAACTTATGACATAATTCAAAGTATATTTTTATTAGAAATATAATATAATGTCACATTGATATTTTTCTGTAAAGTGTTTATTTGTGATTGCGCATCTTTTTGAATCTAATTTTATTTTCTCGGACATCTGTACTTGTATTAAGCTCTACCTTTATATCAATGAACGTTATTATTTGTACCAAACTGTACCTTTATTTCAATGAACGTTATTATTTGTACCAAACTGTACCTTTATATCAATGGACGTTATTTTTTGTACCAAACACTACCTTTATTTCAATGAACGTTATTATTTGTACCAAACTGTACCTTTATATCAATGGTTTGTTTGTAGTTAAGCACAAAGCTACACAATGGGTTATCTGTGCCTTGCCCACTACGGGTATCGAAACCCGAATTCTAGCGTTGTAAGTCCGCAGACATGCCGCTGGGCCACTGGGGGGGCGACATATCAATGTACATCTGCATTTGTACAAGACTGTAACTTTTCATCTGTGAATGTCTGTATCTGCACATAACTTTCAATTTGTCCTCAGAACTCATCACCAGGATGTTTTTAATTTAATAATACGAAATAGCGAGGCTTTGAAATTTTTAAATGAAAGAGTTTTAATTTTAAATAAGACCACATTTTTCCTTTGTCACACAAAAGAACTGTAACCTTGCAGATACAGTTTGTATTTTCTAAGGTTAAGAACGATCACAACACTGTGAACAAGTACTAAGCCAACAATTAACCATAAACATTGAATCATGGTAGCTAGAAATAGTAGGTAAATCACAATTCAAGAAAATCAAAAGTATGGATTGGAATGCATCGAATCATGAATTAGATACCTTTCTTCAGGGGTGCATTAGAATAGAACACTTTTTCATTCCAACTAATTTTGTGTCAACTGTCTCGCCATTGCAATGTTTTACCAATACACACACTATCATTGCAATGTTTTACCAATACTCACACTATCATTGCAATGTTTTACCAATACACACACTATCATTGCAATGTTTTACCAATACACACACTATCATTGCAATGTTTTACCAATACACACACTATCATTGCAATGTTTTACAAATACTCACACTATCATTGCAATGTTTTACCAATACACACACTATCATTGCAATGTTTTACCAATACACACACTATCATTGCAATGTTTTACCAATACTCACACTATCATTGCAATGTTTTACCAATACTCACACTATCATTGCAATGTTTTACCAATACACACACTATCATTGCAATGTTTTACCAATACACACACTATCATTGCAATGTTTTACCAATATTCATTGCAATGTTTTACAAGTACTCACACTATCATTGCAATGTTTTACCAATACACACACTATCATTGCAATGTTTTACCAATACACACACTATCATTGCAATGTTTTACCAATATTCACACTATCATTGCAATGTTTTACCAATATACACACTATCATTACAATGTTTTACCAATACACACATATACTATCATTGCAGTGTTTTTACAAATACTCACACTATCATTGCAATGTTTACCAAAACTCACACTATCATTGCAATGTTTTACCAATACGCACATTTTCATTGGAATGTTTCACCAATACACACACACCATCATTGCAATGTTTTACCAATATACACACTATCATTGCAATGTTTTACCAATACTCACATTATCATTGCAATGTTTTACCAATACACACACTATCATTGAAATGTTTTACCAATATTCACACTATCATTACAATGTTTTACCAATACACACACTATCATTACAATGTTTTACCAATACACACACTATCATTGCAATGTTTTACCAATATTCACACTATCATTGCAATATTTTACCAATATACACACTATCATTACAATGTTTTACCAATACACACATACTATCATTGAAATGTTTTACCAATACTCACACTATCATTGCAATGTTTTACCAATATCCACACTATCATTGCAATGTTTTACCAATACGCACATTTACATTGCAATGTTTCACCAATACACACACACTATCATTGCAATGTTTTACCAGTATACACACTATCGTTGCAATGTTTTACCAACATACACACTATCATTGCAATGTTTTACCAATATTCACACTATCATTGCAATGTTTTACTAACATACACACTATCATTGCAATGTTTTACCAATGCTCACATTTTCATTGGAATGTTTTACCAATACTCACACTATCATTGCAATGTTTTACCAATATACACACTATCATTGCAATGTTTTACCAATACACACACTATCATTGAAATGTTTTACCAATATTCACACTATCATTGCAATTAGAGGGCCTTGCACCACTAATTCATATATATTATTTTATGTTAGGCGAGACAGATGATGTCGGACCAAATATATTACCTGCTGTAGCATTGTTGCATTAGTGAAAACTGAGCCACTGTTGTCTAGTGGAGTGTGATAAACCTTTAAAGAAAGCCTTCTCTGTCAAACTGTTGTGTGATAGTAGCTCTATATGAAAGTCATGAACCTTAGAATATGACAATAATAGAGTCTTTGGATTAGGTGTGGGATTTGACTGTTATTCTTATAGCACACCAACGACCCCAAGTTCAGAGTGTGATTTTGCGATAATGGGCTGCGAACCATAAATCTTTGGATTTACAGTCGACACGATAACATATAGGCCACGCCTGGCCAAGTTTTGGTAGAACGAAGACTGAGATTATTGTTCTCGTGGCCTTTTTTATCATTGCTCTAACATTAAAAAAAAACAACTTCTATAATTCACAGTCTCTTATGGTGAAGCTGGTTCTAAATCTTGGTATTGATAAATTTTACCTCAGAACAGTTTGTCCTTAAAAGTGTTAATCAACCATACCCATTCTGTGTACTGTTTTGTGTACCGTCTAACTTGATCTCCTGACGTCATACGACACTATTTAATTAATCAGTTTTAACATGAGTTTTCTAACAGTAATTTCTGTGATTAAACACAATATCAAAGTAAAAATAGTATATTTTTTCTGATATTGCTTCGTTAGTTAAACAAGTCCATCTTTTCATATCTGTCCATTCACAAAATGGTTTTTATGTGTTTTGTGTTGCAGTTACGGCTCTTATAAATATTGAAGGAGATGAAACTGTCACCTCAACAACAACCACAGTTTTACCAGGTGAAACAGCTTTAGCAACTACCAAATGTTCAGCAGAAACTTCAATTATAAGAACAACCACAGAAGGAACCTTGAGATCATCAGAAAAATCCACCATGCTTCTGATTCATCAGCCTCAGGTAGTTTCATTAATAATATATGCACCCCAATGATATTAAAGTCTGAAAAAAAGCTGTTTTTATCTGATTATAACTACGCAAGAAAGCAAGTCTATTTATTGACTTTTCAAAAATTAGAAACAGCTTAAAGCACTGAGCGCAAGGCATTATGGGATATATTTTAAAATTAATACTTACAAGGGTTAGTGTCCGTTATACAGGTAAGCGTCAAATGCTGAAAAATGGGGGTCGTTAAATAAGTTTTTATTTGTTTAATGTCCGCCGGTGGGACAGCGGTAAGTCTACGGAATTACATCGCTAAAATCCGAGGTTCGATTCCCTGCGATGGACACAGAAGATAGCCCAATGTAACTTTGCTCTGAAACAAACAAACAAACAAACAGTTGTTTAATCACTTCAATGTGCTTGCGACCACAACTTGAATGTAACTGAAGCTAATCAGAACAGGCACAAGTGACAAAAAGGAATGTAATGATTCTCTGAATAATTATGTCTGTGGAGGTTGACTGAATTAATCATTCCGCGATATTCGAAAGTTATAATCATAATATTTGAACGTATGGGAGATTATTACACTAGTCTAAACAAATCTAAAGTACTTGGAAAAATTAAAGTCAATTGTGAAATGTTTTTGTGCGGTTTTCCTATTTAAACAATATATTACAGAGTAGTAAAAATCATCGGATTTTATCAGAAGAGAAATGTTATAGCTATAATATTTGTTTGCCTTTTAATTTATTTTCCGTGAAATACGTGATCAACTTAATTATAATCATACAGAATTACTCCAGGTGTATATAAGATTCTTGAGTTTTGCTTTCCTGTTTTCTTTGATCCTTAATGCTTTCAAACCGATTTGATATATGCAAACCAAATAAATATCAACAGTTGTAAACGTAGAACCTCTTGGGTTCCAGATTATTTTTTATTTATTATATCTTCTTATATATAGCGCCATCTGGTTTTCTATATCTATATCTTAACTTTTTATTAACTAGTTAGAAATATATTTGTTGTGTTTTTATTGATAGTAACCCCACATTGTCGCTTAATTATCTTCAACACGCATATTATGTAGCTTTAAGGTGATATTTCAAACATTAACAATTAACAACTAATTGTGATAATGAAAATAACTGTATGTTGTCTTCTGCTAAAACCTTATAATGGTTATTTTAATAACTTATATATATAAATAAATAACCAACTGAATATCATTCAACCAATAAAAATATTATAATATTTAAACAAACATTGGATAAAGCATCTATTCTTTAAATTTTATTTTACAAGCTGATAACTATGACCTGATTTGATTCACCTCTGACCTTAGTTTGTTAGTCAGTAACCTCTCTTTTATAATGAGATGTCATGGTTTAATCAGGTCAATTTTGATTTCATTTTACTACCTTTGATGTGTGTACTTAACATCCTCAATATGCAATGTAATAGAACTAACTGCATCCACTTGCATGCTCATAACCATTTAATTAACTTTCCAAATTAAACACACTTCTGCTATTTGTAAACTTTGTACTACGAACATCCCTCTTTGTATAGTCAAACCAATTGAAAAAACACTACGTACATCAATGATTAAGGATGTATTGATGTTTCTATTTCAAAATGTGAAACTTCTAGCGATTTCTGGTTGAATATCTGTGAATTTTAGTTTAAATATGTTCTCCATCAACAAGTTATTTGTGTATGAGCAGAGTTCTAAACTTGGGGTGAATCAGTAAACTAATATAAGGATTTGGAAAATGTATAGACGCTATGATTATGCTTAACTTTGTTTATTATGAGCCATTTCTATAAACATAAATAAAATCACGACCTATATCTCCAGAGTGTAACTTTATTAGGTCAATATTTCGCTGACGAAGCTGTAATAGCGAAATATTGGGCTAATAAAGTTACATACTGATTTAAGTTTATAGACGCTATGTTTCAAACGCTCCCTATTGACATATAAATATATTATTTTATATATTTATAAAAGTTTAATCGATTCAGTTAAATGATAAACCAGATTATTTATTATAATATTTTATATTGTTGAAGCCTCCTGGTGTCAATAACGTCATTAAAGTATATAACTGAAGCTTAGAAGAGAAACTGCTCGGTTAACTAGGCTTAACCCGTGTAATTTGTAGAATATGTTATTGCTCTGCATATTATAAGATTCGTGTGGAACATTTGGTAGGAATGCATATAAGCAGCTAAGAGCACCAATATTACTTATATATATATGTGTGTATATATACATAAATTCCACTTACAATAATTACGTTACTCAAGTACCTGAAAACAAGAATAGAATAGGATTCTTGCAGAAGTGATAAAAACTGCCATCTAGTTACTACTGATGCAGAATTTGTGATTAATAGTAATAACAACAGATGCTATTCATGAGTACTATACAGAAGAGTTAATAACAGGTCTAATTATATAATGTTTGGTACCGTGATAACAACACGATTAGACATTCAAACTAAAGTGTGAGCAGGAAATTCCGCTTCAATGTGAACTTTTTTTTTATGGAAATTCGCGCAAAACTACGCGAGGGCTATATGCGCTAACCGTCCTTATTTTTGAACTGATGGAATGGAGGGAATGCAGATACTCAACAGCACATACTGGGAACTTTTGGTGTACTCTGATCGAATAGTGGAGTTTCACCGTCGTCCTTGTAACGTACCCACGGCCACAAAATGTGGAGTGTGTGTTTTGCAACTACGGAACACGAACTATCTATCGGCCATCAGATTTATTCATATCCGGCACTTTAACCATCACACCTTCCCGGAACTTATTAAGGTCTTTTCTCCTGCTACTCATAAACGAAACTGTAGTTTGTTTCGATGATTTCACTATTAAAGAGCTTCATGATCGTATTGAACTTTGACCAACAGTCACAGGAATTCATGGTGTATGTGATGGTATCTAAGCGGCATCATAGGTCCTTCCTGACGTCGTTATTCGCTTTAATTGCAACTCCAACAAATTTTTTGGTCAAAGGATCTAAATCTGAACAGTTAAAATTAAGAGACTATAGGGAAGGCAGTTAGTCAACACCACCTACAGTTAACCTTTGGACTACTCTTTTACGAACGAAAAGTTGGATTCGCCGTCACATTATAATTCCCTCACGGCAGAAAAGACGACTACATTCTGGGACAATATTCGAACTCTCGACCCTCAGAGTGGGAATCGAGTGCCCTAACCACCAGGTCAAGCCAAGCCTGGATAGTCTTATAATCTGAAACAAATCTGAGATAATGAAACTTCAGAAAGAAAAAAAAATGTATTTTGCCCACTATTAATATTATATGTCCTTCACATACAATTTTCATTCACTTAAAGTAAACCGCCGCAAGTCAAAAGGCTTTGTTGGCTGTAAACTTAATATCTACAAAAACCAATTTCTTTCAAAATATGATATTGTTTTCATTATATCTTGTTTTAATATTTTCACCAGTATTTTATAACATTAAACACTATTTCATTACATGTATATGCAACTAATAAGTCTTGCGTAAACGGGTTTTTAGAGACGCTTGCTGTTTTACTTCAAATAACGCGGCAAAGAAGTGCGGTAAAACAATGCAGTGCCAAAAATCTAACCAAGCCTATGCCGTATTTTCTTGCCCAAGATATCTAACTTACGGTTCTGTATGTTGCCCCCCCCCCCAGTAGCATAGCGGTATGTCTGCGGAGTTACAACGATAGAAACCGCGTTTCGATACTCGTGGTGGGCAGAGCACAGATAGCCCATTTTGAAGCTTTGTGCTTAACTTCAAAGAAACAAATCTGTACGTTGCGATGTATGGCGCTGTTTGGTTTGTTTTGGATAAGCAGAAAGTTACATAATGGGTTATCTGTGCTCTACCCTCCAGGGTATCGAAACCCGATGTTTAGTTTTGTAAGCCTGCTGACTTACCGCTGAGTCATTAGGGAGAACTCAGGTTGGGGTTTACGTCAAGTACTAAACCGTTATTAATATCAAAGCGTTTCTTGTTTGTACCAAATTGTCATTTACCAAACTTCTCCTTAGCAACTTAAAGTTTGATAACAGGTAAGTTAAGATTAAGTGACATGCTCTTGATATGTGGGCGAAAGTGAAGGCATGGTGACGTTCAATAAAGTTGGAATCTTTACCTTTGAACTTTGTTCTAAGTAATCTATATTATTCCAAAAAAGTACATCTACTGATTCTATATACCCTTCACAAAGCACATGTAGTTAGGGTTTAATCATAGCCAACAAATTGAAGAGTTTTGTGGGAAAGGTGATCCTAGAGTGCTCAGCCGTTTGGAATTCCACTTTCATATGTATGCCATTACGTATCAGTTAACACATTTCTATAAACATTACGTATAAATACCTGTTCTAAAGGAAATGCGTAAAATGAAGTCGTGTTATGGGATGATGAATTGAGGTACAAACCGCATATTAAACACGTTATTGAAATTTAGAATTAAGAAATATAATTTTTGAGTTGAAAGCTTTGTCAAGATGTCTATGCAAAAACTTATTACTGTGTTAAATTAACTAAGAAATAATGTTTGTTTGTAATTAAGCACAAAGCTACACAATGAGCTATCTGTATTTTGCCCACCACGAGTATCGAAACCCGGTTTCTAGCGTTGTAAGTCCGCAGACATACCGCTGTGCTACTGGGAGGGGAGGGCGAAAAAAAATGAATCACGTGGTTGTTGTACTAATTTTAAGTCGCACTCCAATGAGCTATCTGTGCTCTGCCTACCACGGGTATCGAAATCCGGTTTCTAGAATAGTAAGTCCGCAGATATATTTTAACATTTCTTGCGTTCAAGTTCTTTATTTTAACGTTCTGTGTTCTAGTTTTATAACGTAACATATGTTGGGTTCTGGTTCTATACGTTAACATGTCTTGTGTTCTAGTTCTTTATTTTAACGTACTGTGTTCTAGTTCTATAACTTAACATATGTTGGGTTCTGGTTCTATAACTAGAACACAGTACGATAACATAAAGAACTAGAACACAAGACATGTTAACGTATATGTGTAATCCTCATTAATCTTATCATTGTCAAAATAGAATGATATTTGTGTAGAACTTTATCAAAAAGTTAAAACTCATTCAAAAGCTTATACTCGAGAGATTTCGCGTATAGCAATAATTTGGTTCTAATAAAAGTTCATTTCGTAAATATGTAGTATAATTCACTTTATAACAATCTGAGATCCAGCAGATTGTTAGCACTAATTTAAAACACTTTTAAAAATGTCAAATTGTGGTTGAATTTTACAGTATTCAACAAATATTTTCCCAATGTTTAAAATGTATTCTGTGTATTGTCTGTCTTTGGTGCACACCAACAAATTTAACATGGATTTGTTATTAGTCAACTTATAAAATGTAAGTCATCTTTTTTATGTCTATTTACTATAACACTTCATACCCATTGTATAATAAACGTGAATATAAACAATACAAAGTTTCGTCAATTTCAGACCCTAAGCAGTTGAAGTTTTTAAACTTTCTGACGAATAATCGATCACTCACTTCAAATTACAGGAATTTAAGCTATATTTATGTTACTACGTTAAATTTTTAGCATTAACACCCAGTTTGCGAGTCAGGAAGGAATGTTTAGTAGGTTGATTTCCAAACAAAGCTTTACATGCTCTCTTTTTTTTCAATTCTGAATAGTGATTTGGATTCCTCACTACATCCGGAATCTGAATTGCTTACCATCGTGGCCGAATTTGCACTAGTTTCTACCCTATGAAGGAATAAGTTCCATACCATACTTCAAAATCGTAAAGAAAACGTGGTAGTGGTTGTACATGTTGCGCAATACAAAATCTGGTTCCTCAGCTCTATAAAGCTGTTTCCTTCACGGTTTTCGCGAGTTATGTTGAAAGCGATGGCTGATGAAGGCTTTAAACTGACTAAATGTTGCCACTACTATCTTGTGCAAGAGAAACACAGTCTTGACAACGCCCTATACTCCGCATCTCCGTGGCCTGGCACTATAAGAGACGAGTTGTTTTGGCAATAAAGTTAATAGATCGAGCCCTTTATTGCAATCTATCTTTATTTCATTATAATTTGAATACCGGAATCAGTGAAACCCCTCTGAAGCCCACCCAATCCTCCGAATTCAGTCTCATTGACTCGCATTGACTCATATTATCATTATGAAATAGAAATAATTATTAAATAGATTATTCTTTTCCACCTCTTATCCTCATTCATTTACTTTTAGTCGTTTTTCCTTTCTTAATACAGTAACACTAATGACCATGCGCAATAGGAAAGGCCTTTAAAATGCTTAGATTCGTCATTAGCGTAGTAGTCCATAAAACCGAATAAAATAAGCGATGCACAAACCTATGTAAAATATGGGAGAATTTTCAGAAGCGTTACTTGTCACTGTGGGTGACCATCAAAATATTTGGTTCTAGAAACAAAATTATGTTTTTCCTTTTGATATTTGAAATTATTTTCATTTCATGTTGCTTATTCGTTCCTCGCTCATGGTGCTAGATTATCACTAACTCAAAACACAGATTTGTCTTTTGCTAGTACGTGTTTCTGAACTGTAGAGGCTTCATACATACACTGTTTTGTATTTGAAGGACTTGGCATGACTTTAAATTGTTATTTTTCTTAGAAATAGTAATATATAAATGGCCTTGAAAGTCCAAAATTTGTTTGCATCTTTCTATCACTGTTGTTTTAAAATTCGATGTTCCATCACGGATATGCTTGCATTTTTACTACTTTCGGAACCGAATTTTTTACATGACCCTGGCCTCGATTTTAGATCAGAGAACTGAATCAGTATATACCTACTAACAGAATGATTACAAATTTCTATTAATTTGGGATCTGTAATGATATACCATTGCAATTACATTGACCTTAAATGTAGAAGGTCATGTTTGCGTGTTGTAGAAAATTGGCTTACCCCAAATAAAGATTTGATTATTGCGCCCCATTTTTATCACTTCAGGACCCGAAACAAAAGCCACTGACGTGGCAGTGCCCGTAGCCTTCATTTCTTACGTAGTCACCGGCTAAATAATCACTAAATAATAGTCTAAAATGTTAATAAATGAACGCTTAAAGATGGCTATACTTACCCATATCTCACTAATTTATCTTTAATTAATGATTAAAAGTATAAAACTTGAAACTCAGTCCGTAGGGTCAAGAGGAAACCACCACCACCATCACCACGAATATATTTTTTTTTTCAGAAAAATCAGAATACAGCTTTATAGGTATGCAGAAGAAGCATAGTTTACTAATTGAACGGTAATTTCCATGAAGTTCTCTTGTTTTTTTATCAGTCAAGAAACAAAAACTTCTCTAAAGAAACTATCTAATAAGCACAATATAACCGTTGCAGAAACATTATTAAACTAGGGTAACTTTTGGTGGAAATACGGTGTATTTTGGGAGAAACAATAATTAGTTTTTGTAATTATATTATTGTATTTAAAATCTTCTACTAACACATGATAAACAAAATATATCATTATTATTTCAAATACGAAAAGTACAAAATAAAAGCTAAAACGCTAACTGCTCTACCTAACCCAGATGAAAAAATATTACATAAAACTTTTTGTTCTAATGCTAAATTTTAAGTAAATGATTTAACAGTTTTTCATTAATCAACCATGCATTACATCGAGTAAGTGCAAACTTGTTTTTTTTTGCCCAAGCCAGCCTCTTAATTTTGCGAGTGTTCATTAGGCAATAATTACGATTTTTGTTTGTTGTTTTTTTTGCCCAAGCCAGCCTCTTAATTTTGCGAGTGTTCATTAGGCAATAATTACGAAAGAAAAAGTATTTTCATCTGAAGTGTTTGTTGTTTTCTTAGGCAAACATACACAATAGGTTATCTGCATTTTGTCTACTGCGGGGAATTGAACCCAGGACTTTAGTGTTGTAAGGCTGTAAACTTACCGCTGACCCACCGGAGGACTAGAGTGTTGAACATGCATGCTAGCTAACACGTGCAAACATCAGTGTTGCATTTTAAACAAGATCTGGATTATAACAATAACTTACTACTGAATAAGGCTTTTTTTGATGTTCAAAATACAAACTGCTCATTTTGTCGACCCATTGGTAGACACGTTTTGGAAATATTCCCGAACTGCTCCAAAACATTATTGCAGAAAAAAAGAAATACGTTTCGAGTAAATCAAAAACAGTTTATGACTGCTATTTTTTTAATCTAAAGTACTTTAATGAATTATTTAAAAATCAACTTAACTAATTCGTGTCTCATTAAACGGGAAAAAAACATATGTATTACAATACTGTATAATGCAGTTAATGCTATCATACTAAACCAAAGCTACACAAATGCTGGATTCTGGTTGAGCAACCGGCTTATTCTTATGGATTATTCGTTGCACTTTACCTAGCACATGTGCCTCAATTTTAAAGTTCTTAGCCTAAGAAACTTTATAAAAGTAACTAGAGACAGAAGCGTTTGAATAAAGATTTCATAAGATAAGCCCTTATACAACAATTGATTGTGAAAATTATAAAAATAAAATATCTTACAAACCTATCAGTGAATCTTAAAACTCACAGAAACAAGTAAGACTTTTTTTTTTTACAGATAATTATATTTTAGCTTTGTCGTGCTCTGTTAATGTGAAATATATTAGTAATGGAAGCTTAAATAGGTGGTGAACGTTTATTTAAAAAAAAATCAACTTATTGTACAATAAAGTACAAGTTGTCAAAAGTCCATTCTACCAGAGGTAATATCGTTACAGGGTGTTCCTTTTACTCTGCCAAGCACCCACTTGGGTTCCAGTTACACAGAACCATTTTCTGAAGAAGAATTTACTGTAAAACACCCAATTCTAGGATTTGGCGAACCCGTGGAAAGTCTTGATATCTCTCCAGAGGGTGTTCCTGCAGCCAGCAGTTTAGAAGAGGTTTTTCAATCTGACTTAACACCTGTATCAACCTATGTGGTACCGACGACATCTTGTTTTGAATATAGAGATAGATCCTCACTGACGGGTACCGTTGCTGGAACCCTTCCAAGCTTTCAAGAAACTTATTCCCCTAGGCTTAACCATGACATAATACAGCCACACGCTTTTTCGTTCATATTTGAAAATATGCCATTACAGAAATTAGACTCTCATGACGTAACAGAGAAAGCAGTAAGTCTACAACCCAAAACGTCATCCGTTTCAACTCAACCCTCACAACTGATTGAGCTTTCCAACACGACGAAGTCAGATGTTTCCTCCTCTATCTCTCCAGTCTTTCGGCTCAAGCAGTCTGAATCTGGCACTAACGTACCTCCTAGTTATCCTAGTTTACTCTCAACAGAACGAAAAACGGTCTCCTTTACAGAAATTAAGTATCTAAAACTCCAAGAAATCCTACCCTCCACGTCTTCCTCTGATGCCTTGAAAAAGCCTTCATTACCTAAAAGTCCTACTTTCAGCATTCAAACGAATCAGTTAGCTGTAGAAACATCTCTTCCAACAGAAGGTATAGAAACTTCACCATCAACTAGTGCGCCTTCCCAGAAAACAAGAAGATTTTCTCTTACAATTCCCTGTTCCTTGGCTACTCAATCAAGGTATTTCTTCTCATAATCATTCTGTTTTTAAGGTATTAAAGTTGTTTGTTTTGTTTTTTGAACATAGGCCCACAGCCGAAGATGATTTAGGGTTCGAACGACATGCCTTTCTCCCTAAAAGTTATGAATGTACTTTTGGAAAGTGCAGAATATAGCCCATTATAAAGCATTTAAATATGTTAAAATCAAGTATCTTATAACAAAATGTGATTTTTTTATAGATTTTAATGTTAGTCGCTAAATAGTTGTATTAACCCTTTATCAACCAATTAGGGAAAGGAGCAATTGAGATACTTTCTTTTACTCCAACAGTGATAACATCCTAACAAGTTATCTCGTCATCCAAAACCCCCATAAAATTTTAATGATGCTCAGCTGTAAAAACTCAGCTTTCACCCCTGATTAAAATTTGCGTGAAATATGATAATTCCGAAATACAAGCAAATTTAGTTTGCATCAGGTTTTAATATTATGAAATTCCACCTTTTTAAAACATGTCAAAGCTAGTCTAAGCATAGTTACGTTCATGACGGTTCATAACCAAGTTTATTTTAGGCACACAACAAAATACATTAACATAAAAATATTATATCATAATAATCATTAGTATTCTTCCTCTACTGTTCAGTACGTAAGTATTCTTGATCTATATGTGTTTGTATGTGAATAAGCAAGATGATCGGTTATACTACAAACATACTAGTTCACAATTAGGTAACAAAATATTGCATTTTATAAAAGATCAAGAAATCGATCTAATTTGAAAACTAAACAGTTTAATTCTCCCTTCCCATAAAATATTACAAACGTAGGTGTAAAATAGTTTGCTTACTATTTAACGAGGTAGTTATAAACTTGTGTATCCAAAATTCCCCCCTGTTCTTTAATTGTAATAATATGTTCTGCCTGTATAGCCTATTGGAATATATGTCTGTGTAACGTACTAAGTTATATCTGACAAATTAAAGTTACCCCCTCCTTCATCAATATTGTGTAAAGTATATCTGTCTAAGATTTAAGTCTTAATTACCTAAAATATATATAATTCGAAAAAGGTGGTCTTTGAAAATAAGGTATAACAGAAAATAATCTTAGTTTTGAAATTGGTGTTAAAATATTTTGTATCAGTCAACCACCCAGTCATCGCACTCACTCTTCCACATCGACCCCCACGACTAAAGAGCCCGTTCCTTCTACCTCTCAGTGCTGTGCGGTATGTGGGGACAATGCTATTTGTCATCATTATGGAGTTCTGACATGTGAAGGCTGTAAAGGGTTCTTCAAGGTTAGTCGAAGATTTAACTATGTACTATTAAAGGTGTATTACTGTGCTCATAGTTATAACTTTTTTGTTCTAAAGTAATGTAGGTTCATAATAGCTTGCCGTATAAAATGGAGTATTGAGGTTGAGTAACTTATATTTAAACGTTTTTTGAGCATCACTACGTCGTTACAGTCCATGTCGCCACGTCTAACCATGCTGTATCTGCAGATCACGCATCTTGGTAGTTTGCATTGCATTGGACTCCGTCGTAAGATTTTCATGGTTAAAGCACACATACCCTCCCTACAGGCTTTCCATAATGCATGTAGTATACAAAAACGATGGTTTCACAGCTCCTATTTCAATAGTTTGATCACACTGAAATGCATAGGTGGTACGTCCAGCGACTTGACTGGTATATCTTCGTATGCGTCGTGGAAGAAACTAGTATACACGTGACTTACATCGCTGGAAAACGGAGATCCTTCTTTATCATGTAGCATGCGATTGCCTGGAACATATGGATTTTTTTGTCACTAACCTTTGTGGTCGTGGATTCTCGTCCGTTACAAAACACCGCACTTTTCTTGCCACAGCTGGGGTACGACGTTTTGCAGGTCTCTTTCTTAATGGTCTTGGTGCCCCAAGTTAATCTATATTCGTTTGTTTTCCAATGCCTTTACGTAAAAGGGATATCCAAGTCTTGTAAATTCTGAATCCCCGATCTGAACACATCTTTATGATCTGAGCGTATTAATAGTTTGCTGCAGAAAGGACTGTTACATTTCAAAAAAACGCTCAATTTTCGGTGGCAAACACTACCTACAAAACACCACACACGGTCAAAATGTAGTTCTGATACACTCCGTTCCACTGCCACTTATAGTTGTCGCATGATTTGTTGATCTAACTATTCAAAATCATTATAATATAACGTATTCAATTCTTTGCCTTATTTCAAACGTACAGTTAATAACCGAAGGATTACGAGAGGATGCATGGAGCAAAGTTTGTGTAAATCTGTTTCCCTACCTTGCAACAAATAGATTTATCTTTGAATTTTGTTATGAAATATATAAACGAAGATTCAGTTTGGATCAGATAAATCGATATTTTTGCCCAAAGGTAGAAGTGTGAAGTTATTGTATGGAGCTCTTGTCAGTGATAACATACAAAAGTAAAAAAAAAAGTTAAACATTCTGACCCTTTAAAATAATACGAATTTAAAAAGTACTAGCTGAGTGTTTCACAAACTGTAATAAAACGGAATATAAGATGCAATAGGAGAGACTATGTTAATCTAAAAATGTTAATATACTAACATTTAAGTTCTTATAGAGACAGTGAATTCAGGTAAAGTGAAGTCTTATCAAACTCAGTTTTATTAAAATTTAAATGTTATGTTTCTAGCATCGCTGAAAGGGGGCAAAATGGTTGTATATATTATAAATATTACTCTGAGTACACGAATATTTAACTATTAATATGGATTCGATTCTTATTGAAAGTTTAAGAGAACAAAACCTAGCACATATAGTATAACAAATAAATACTTCAAGTGTACAAATGTATCTCAGGTCTATAGTGTTCAATAATTTTTATTGGTGAACAAATATTTCAATGTGCCTATTCAAACTATAGACTAACACTATTAAACCTCCTTTTTTTTGTTCTCGTTCCTCACTGATAGTGATTGGTTGGATTTTAATTTCGCGCAAAGCTAATTGAGGGCTAACAAGTACCTGGAAAGAAGACGACCACCAACAACTCTTGAAATACTCTTCACCAACTAAAAGTGGGATTGATCGTCACATTATAATGCACCAACGGCTAAAAGGGCGAGCATGTTTGATGACGGGATTTGAACCCGCGACTCGCAAGTTGCGAGTAGAGCTCCCTTATCATCAGGCCATGCTACGACCGATTTATGAAAAGCATCAATTGACAAGATTTTGTTAACTGTGCTTACTAGTTTTGGTACACTGTGGTGTTAAAGCTACAATATGTGGAAATGTTAACCTCGCGCTTGAAAATGATCCTCGCCTAAATCTAGTTTTTAATTAGCTACTTTTATTATTAATACTACATTCTAGTTAATTATTTTAGTTTAAATCCTGTGTTTCAGCTGACCCCTCTGCTGCTGTCGTAAAGGAATTCTCGAGAAGGATCATATATGGTTATAGGGCCGTGATTCGATCCTAGGTATTTTTGATAGAGCAACTGTCCACTCGTCTTGTAACTCCCCAATAAGAACTTGACAATTAGAATATGTTTTATGAATGTGGAGTCCAGTCCATTGGAAAAACAAAAAGGGTTCGCAAGAGTTGCCCTACAAAACTTCAAACTCGAACCATTCTTCTGGTTACTTATCCATTGAAACTAGGTCTTTAAGGGGTTCGCATGAGTTGCTCTACAAAACTTCATCGGAATTGGTTCAGCCAGTTCCTCCCAATCGGTTAATACCAGACAGACAGACAGATGGATAACTACTTTATATATATATAAATTGCGAGCGATAAAGATCCTCTCATTTAGAACATTTTCAAACTACACTGACTAATGCATTATTGGGTCTTACTCCAAGTGATGGATTAAAATATATTTACACCATAATAACCCGAAATAAACAAGACATAGGCTCTACAAGATGCCAGACATCAGAAATCACTTTTGTTATTTTTGTCCATTCGTCCAGGAAAAAGAGTTTACCATTGGTTCGTAAGATTAAGATGGCAAAAGAATTAATCAGCAGGAAACTTAGTGGGCCACTGTTGTGCCCTTCAAACCAGATTTGGAAAACAAGAGCGTGGTGAATTATTGCATTGTTGTCGTAAAATAGCCCTTGTCCATCAGAGTCGAAATGGAGCATTGTTAAATAGACACCATCGCCAACAATATTGTGGATATTATTCACATTTCTAAAGGGATTGAGTTTGTGTTTCATAGCATTACAACACATTTAGCAGCTTGCCGATTCTAAACATATAGGCAGGACCAATCTGTTTACTCCAAACTTTTACTTTTCGTTATTACTAAAACAAAAGACATTTTAATGAGACTCATCAGACCACATCACGTACTTCCAGTCAATAACTGTCCAAAGCATTAATAAAGCAGTGTTTTCCTCTTTGAATATCTATCTAATAGCTAGTTTCTGACTGGTTGTTTTATATGACAGTTTTGTAACGTTATTCGTGTGTTGCAATTAGACAGTGTCGAACCTTGACCCATCTTTAAGAAACTGGACCTTTAAGATACAGCCTGATATTTATTATACTTGATAATACTTTTTCTCTATAACTCACCAGCAATTAAAGACCACGTTTTTTCCCCTAGCGGTAGCCGTATTATCTTTCAATTATTACTACAGATAGATTCAGATATATACTAACTTAATACTGCTTGTAATATTTAATTAGGTAATGAAAGGAATAAAAAGTTGTTGGTATCGAAACATTGTTACTATTCCGCCGTTTACTAGCAATATTAAAAACTAATAAATAAATAAACCTAATTTGAAATCAACAAAATGCAAATACTTTCACAGGTTTCAGTGAAACGTAGTATAAGAAGAGACTGAATAGAAAAATTAATTTTTTTTTAGCATTTTAGGTCAATAAGTGGATATTTGATGTAGTATATCAAAAACTGTTGCTTCGGTTCCCAATGTTCTTGTGTTTTGTAGTTGTGTATGTGGAAATTAGTAACAAATAGACGCGAGTATATATGTTTATTTCTTTATAAGTCGCGCAAGCTCTTTTGTAACAAGTTTATAGCCATTTCCTGAACATTGTTGTCTGTAGCTCTTAGAGTATAGAAAACTGAAGAAGTCGCTAGTATTTTGAAGTAATAATTTTTGTTGTTGATGTTTGCTAACATTGCGTGTCTGTCGTGTTTGATGTTCTATTTCTTAATGTCATTAATAAAATAATTGGTTTAACAGCGGACTGTGCAGAAAGGGGCTAAATACAGCTGTCTCAACAACAAAGATTGTCCGGTAGACAAACGAAGCAGAAATGTATGCCGGTTTTGTCGGTTTCAAAAGTGTTTGACTGTTGGAATGGTGAAAGAAGGTAATTATCTTTAGTGCAGATGATTCTTGCCGTATAGTATCATCGAGGGATTAATAAAATACAATGGCATGAATTTCATTCCATTAAGTTTCAACATACTGCCTCTCTAGATAGCACTTTCAAATCCTTGTAATTTTTTAAATGTAAAATCAATACATATGAACGTGGCATCACATGGCTTAAGTAGCTTTATCAAGAAGGACTGTAGCAGTGGTTCTCAACTTTTTTTATGTCGCGTAGCGCAAGTCTGCCCTTTGACACAGCGGCGTATCCCCTGTACGTAATTTGTTAAAAACATTAACAAGATATTTATATTAATAGGAAAGTAAATCAAAAGAACTAATTCAAGGACGAGTCAACAATATGCGAATGTTGACTGCTTGCTATTGGAATACGTTGATAACACACCGAGGCTGCCCTCAGGTTTTGTTATGTTTATGTTTTTCACGGGTTCTGGGGGTACGTGTTCCACAGGTTCAGAAACACTGGTCTATTGTATTAAATATATTTAGTTGAATCGCACTTGAACCGTATTATAAGTTTTTATTTGATCATTTGAAATAAAATATATATTTTTTTAAATAAAATCGCCACGTACTGAATGATGTTTAATACAACGTATATTTGGGCAAGGTTTTAAATAGCGCTAATGTTCGCAATATTAATGCTACATCATATCATTGTTAGAATCAGTCTGAACAGATGAGCTGTCTTGTAATTGATACTTAAAATGTTCTTTAAGAAGCTGACAATACTTTAAGAAG